GTAAAGTGGTTAGGCTTTGATAAATCACACAACAGCTGGATTGACATGAATAAAGATGCCATTTAATACTCGCATGTAATTGGTCTAAGACATGTTCGACGGAGTGGTGGTGGTGGGGGCCGTAAAAGTTATTATAAACCTCAAAGGACCACATTTGTGTCTCAGTATTTGAACGTAGTCGCGGTGTCATCGTGAAATGTCCTATGCATCGAATCACGCAATGTACGCAGATATCAGTGCCGAAGACAGCGACGATTCGCAGTGTTCGTCAAATTATTGGAAATATTTGGACAGTATGATTTTGAAAAGTCGAATGGAAATTGCTCAAGAGAAACTTTTACTCAACGAAGTTAGCTACCAGGTGAACAATTTCAAGTTGATTGTGGGCCTAAGCGTCGCTCGAGGAATGCTGCCAGCAGTCAAAATAGTAAACTCCATGCTAAACTTGCCCGAAGATCAAACTTGCATAACTCTAGCCGATTTCGACTGGTATGAATTTATGGAAAAGGTATTCAAGATGGTGAAAGAAATTGCTGCTGGCGTCAAAGACTCTGCTGTGCCTGGCCAACAACAGGCGTTATCCGGGAATTTCACTCTGTATGTCGAATCGTTTTTCGGTGAACAAGCTCTTACGTCGAATAATTGTGCATTGTGTTTTTGCTTGGACGACATCAAACAAATTTTAACTGTTTGTCCTCTCATAAATTATAGATTAGAATTAGTCAAGGATTTGAATTTCATTGTATACTATGACGATTGCCTACAATATCAGAATGTAACTCACAATGTCAAAAACGGCAGCCATCTTTTGCAATCAATTATCAGCATGTGTAACTTGAACAAATGTGAACGTAGCTGCTACTTTCTAGAACTTGCTACTATGAACCTAGGCAAAATTGTCAGGGATTTAGATAAGCTGGACGCGTGTTGTACCACCCTCCAATCCAATTAGTATTAGTAGATATTAATAAATGACTATAAAAAACATGCTTGTTTTTCATTTTTCACACTACAATAGCAACCTTTGAAGAGTCACAATGTCCGGTTGTAGTATTACTGGTGGTGGTGACGCCTGCTGCCATCATCAATCTTCCTGTATAAGACAAGCAGTCTATTTGCTACGTACTAGTTTAGAAACAGACATGTACTTTTTACTTCAAGCACTTGAGCAAGAACCCGACACTAATGGTTGGTTTTCCACGCAAGATGTGGAAAAATATGAAAATGGTGTCGTCTTGTAATCTGTATCTGGCTAATTCCATCTCTTTGGAGGACCTATGTGTGCTTATGAATCAATACGGACTACATCAGTAATTAAAACAGTATGGCGCTAAATACATGTGTGATGATATTATTGCAAAATATATAGGTGTTACGATGAAGTTGACTAATTTGTATGATGTTTCTATTAAAATAAAGTGAAAAAAATCGTTTGCAGTAAATTACCCATTGCGCCAATTTATTAAGGATGTGTAAATGAATCTTAAATTCATTCAATTTCTAACCATGATGGTGTCAAGTCAATCGTACTATGTTCTCTTGGTTGCCCTTGTGCAAAATAGTTTCTATGTACACAGACCGTACAATGTCCACAAAATGTCAATAATGCTGGACTTTTCCGCACCTAACAATACAACATCTTGGACAGAAATGCATTATGAAGTAATAGATAAGGGCCATTTAGCTGTTTTCACGACTCGTATACCATCGTCAACGACATTGGCGTACCTGCGTTACAAGGTGAGGCTGCATTTTCATGATGAAACTGTTGGAGATACCGAATGGAGAACTCTCATCAGAGAACCACAATAGCAAGAAGAAACATACAATAATTCCCATAGGACTTTATCAGACGACGACATCGCACCGAAATCCACTTTAAATGTAGTCATATTTATTGCCATTTGCTGCGTAATATTATTATTGAATTTAACGTACCATATTGGAAAAAGTCAATGTACCCTATGGTTTAATAAATAAATAGGTTTTAATTTTAAAAAACAAGTGTGACTCATTTAATTCATTAAATTTCCCATAGTTAATCTGCAGTGAAAATATCCTTTTTTAATCAACAAAATATTAGATGCAAGTCCCAGCTTGTTATTGTCGCTAGAACGGAAATGCTTATCAGTAAAATAAACTGTGAAATATGATACCTTTGTTTATAACGCTCCGACATTAAACGTCGACTCGATGGTCTGCAACCTTGAGCTTCACGAATTTTCTTTATTTACCACTACGGCATCCTGTATTAGGACACGTCGCACTACGTACGCCAGATGGCGCCACCGACACACACTGACGTGACCATATAAGTAAAAAATTATATAACGCGTGTACTCCATTTACGCAATGATAGGCGTTTGATGCAAAAATGGACGTGACCCAGGCCCCTATGACGTCATCACAGAACCCGAACCATAATTAACTATACGTAGTTTCGAAACGACTCGGAACAATCCCTTCCACGCAAACTCCATATTACAGGTACCTGTAATTTTGAACCCTTCCTGTCGATCAATTGCAAGAATTCACCGCAATAACCCGGCATGACGTCATCACAGAACCCGAAACGACTCAAAACTCCCGCTATGACGTAATGACGTTTGACAGATGACGTTTGACAGGTGACGTTTGACAAATGACGTTTGACAGATGACGTTTGACAGGTGACGGTTGACATGATGGCGGGAAAACATTTCCCCCCTCCCCTTTTTCTGGTACCCATGATAAAATCCGGGGGCCCCTTTTTGGGGGCGCAGCCCTGCGGGCCCCCTCTGGAAGGCGGAGCCCTGCGGGCCTCCTTTTTGGGGAGCGGAGCCCTGAGGGCCCCCTTTTTGGGGGGGGCGGAGTCCTGTGGTCCCCTAACTACAGCATCCTGTAGTACGAACTTCACACTATGTACGCTAGATGGCGCCATGACGTTTGACAAGATGGCGCCGACGATGCATCGATCTTCGTGTCAACGACGGCGCATCCACCATGTGTCAAGAATGAAAGATTGAGGTTATGTTCGGATTTTGGTAGTCACACCCGCTTTGATTATCTACTAGTGTAATGACCCGAAAAATGGTCCATTAATTTACGAGAACTTTAAATACAAAAAGAGAATTTTCTGAAAGTTGAATTGAAGTAAAAGTACAATTAAATAGAACTTAAATTAAAAAAATCCTGAATATAAAGTAGCGATCAAACAGTTTTGGATAGACCTAGACCACGTCAAAAATAGTTTTGCAATTGGCAATTTTGTAAATCGTAATGTCAAAGTATATAACAGTTGAGTAGAACAAAACTAGAATTGATCGAATTTAGTGGATAAAATAGAAAATTTCAAAATTCTCGAATAATAAACAGTAAATTTGAATTTAATTAATTGAAAAATTTGTATTAATAAAAATTTTTAAAATATGTACCTATTTAAAATTTAAGGGAGGCCGCACATCAAAGAAACATGGAACGTGAAACATGAAACATAAAGCGTGAAACTCGTTTCATGAAAATAGAACAAGAACAAACAAATACAAGTCCGCCCACCAATGAAACGAATTTGTTTCATGCGCAATAAGAAACATTTTTATTACATAAACCCGGTTCATGAAATAGATCGTGTTCTATTTTTCTGTTTCAGTTTCACGGTTTTTGGGAATAAATACATTCATAAAAAAATTAATTACGACTAAGAATTCAATATTGTGCTAGTTTCAGTGGTAGAGCAAGATCGAGAATTGTATAAGTATAACATGGAGAAGTACTCGAATAGACAATCACCAAAAAAAGCCTGCCAAAATGTTGCCTGATAGGTAAAAAGTACATTATTGTATGAATGTACCCAGTATCGTCGTTTCCTTTATTTTTTTGACTTTTTGATGATAATAGAAACGTTGCCACAACAGCAGTTCTTGTTGCTCGTCAACACTTTCCTTTGTGTGCTACCCTCCATACTCCACTACTACACTATCAAAAGACTTTGCAAACATTATTTTTGTTTCTTCAATTAGTATGCAAGAAAGAAACGGTTTCGCTTTTCGTAATTTATTGTTTCATGTTTTACGTTTCATGTTTGATGTTTCACGTTTCACGTTTCTTTGATGTGCGGCCTGCCTAAAAGTTCAAATTGAAAAAATATGACGAACCACATTTTCTTGAGCTTCTAAAATTGAGTCAGGAAGATGTTGCTCCTGAGTGACATCGAAAGGGTTCTGCTGTTCCTTTGACACTTTTTTCCAATATGTCAGTTGCAATGGTGTGGTGACTGCTTTCTGGTTGCTTCGGATTTATATCGAAAGCGGATAGTTTGCCTTGTTTATGCAACTGTTGTAGATTTTGAAATAAATATAAAGCATAAAAACACGGCGAGTATATAGGCTAAACAAGAGGCCGATTTATGCATAGGCTCGTATCTGCTTTGCTTCTCTCTGCTTCTGCAGCTACTAAATATGACGTAAGGTGTTGGTACTTGAGTGAAGTGGAGTGAAATTTGAAGTTACGGCCCTCTTGTCATACAGTTTCATTTCAACATCTGTAGCTGATATTTAAACGCCAGATGCTACTCAGTGACCAATGGTGCCACATTATCCTCGGTAGAAAGTAAAGCAGAACCACTAAAACCTTTACAATCTCCACTAACTCTAATTTTACCTGAGTCTTTCAAAATGATATCAACAGGTACATTAGGGTTTTTTACAACCTAAAATTAGAATTTCCTTTTTGGGGATGACATTAAATTATAAGATTTTTTTTTTCTGAATTAGCTAGTTAAATGAAATTTGGTCTAAATTAATGAGTTTTTTTTTTTCTATAATTTTAGAAATTAAATTGAATGATTGGTAATATAAAAAGATTTCGCAATTTGGATGAACGTATTAGAGCCAGATGGGTTGCTTTTGTTCACATGAATTTTTGCGGAATTGAGTTTTCGCTGATTTACAAATTATATTGCTGCCTATTTTCATAAACTAATAGGAATTTAGAAAATGGTTTCATTAAAATATATTTGCTACGGATTCCAATCTTTTGTACTTCTATGCGTTCTAGAGTTAAATTTTGCTTTCCTAGAGCATTTAGTTCCCTTTTTTGCATGTCTTGCGTTTGCAAGTAGCCAATTTGTTTTTCGACTTTTTGCGTCAATTCTTTGAAAATCTTTTCGTATTCTTGCAAATCTAAGTTTAGTGCAGAATTCTTTTTCATTTTCCCATTAGCTTGTTCAGATAAATTTTCAGTTTGCTTATGGTTTTCTTGTTTTAGTTTGTTAGAAATCGCATTTTCAAGTTTGCTTATTTGACTTTCAAAGTTTTTTATGCTTCTTAATTTTAGATATTTTGCTTTTAAGTGCTCTTTCAAGTGTTTTCTCATTGTTTCAGCATCAATTTCAACTTCATTGAGTTTTCCTTCATATTGTTTCTTCAAGTATATATTTGCATTTTCTGTTTTATCAACAAATTTTTGTTTAAATTTTATTTCTCTGTTTTGCTGTTTAACTTCTTTATCTAATTCAGCTATTTCGTGATTCTTCTCTTTAAATTTATTTTAATTTTTTCTTGTTGCTTTTGTATTTTTAGCTTCTTTTTTGCACATTTCAACAGTTCATTGAGTTTTGTCTCAAAATTTACTTGAAGTTTTTTAAAATTATTTTCAGTACTTTTTAGGCTTTTATTAGAATAATATAGTTCTTCTTTTAGCTTTTTAATTTTGACTTCAAGTTCGTTATTTTTACTGTGTTCTCTTGCTATTTTCTCTTTAAACTTGTCAGCTTTTTCTTTAGCCTTATTCACTTTTTTTTCATGAGTTTCTTGAAGCTTTTTAAAGTTATTTTTATTATTTCTTAAACTTTCATCAAAAACTTTCTGTTTTGATTTTATTTCTTTTGTCAGATCATCAGTTTTGGCTTTAAAATTCTCATTTTCCCTTTCTTCTTGTTCATTATTTGTTAAACTCTCTTCATTTGCTGTCATTTTCTTATAAGTTTCAATATTGTTTTCTAATATTTTGCTTTCTAATTTAGTTGGTCTTTCTATTAAATTATTTTTATTTTCTTTCAAATTTCTTTCGTCTTCGTTACCTAAATTTAAACTAATTTCTTCTTTGTATAAAAATATATTCTCAATTTTGGGATTTTCATTATTTACTGGTTTTCTTTCTGTAAAACTTTTGCTTTCGTTCTCATTTTTTAAGTTTTTCTTATGATTCCTTGAACTTTTAATTGAAACACTCTTTTCCTCAAAATTTCGTGTTATACCTTGACTTTCTTGGTTAATTAATATTAATTGATGATGTTGTTTTGAGGTAGATGGTTCTTTATAGACTTGCTGCTTGCGATTATTGGGGTTATTTGCTGGTAAAAGGCTATGTTGTTGTTTGCGATTTTGTTCGTCGAGATTATTTTCTGGAAAGTTTTGCCTATTCTGGTTATAACTTTGATAAGTATTGTGATAAAAATTTGTATTAAAATCATAGCTTTGAGGAAACCGATTTTTTTGAATATTTTCAAAACTGTTAGTTTGCGGACTGTCTTGGAAATACCGTTCTTGTTGGTGCCTTTGATAAAAGTTATGATTTTGAAAAGTTCCACGTTCAAATGTTTTATAATCGTTATAATTCTTAGCAAAATGTGAATTGTTTCTGTTCAAACAATTATCTGATAAATGATTATTTTTTCCGCAGAAACTACAAAAACATTCTTGATAGTTATGTTTTTGAAATGCTCTTCGGTTTTGGTTGAAACGGCAATTTTCTGTTGAATGGTTAGTTTTTTTACAATATGTATCAATTAAATTTATTTTTCCTTGATGCGAACTAGGGAATACCGACGCTTCTATTTCGACTGCTTTTTTTTTATAATTTGATCGATATTAAAAGAATCATTTAAAGTGAGAGAGGCTCTCATTATGGCATTAATGAAACCTTGACAAAAAATTGACGGTAAAGTCTTTTCAAATATTTGAATGTTATCTCTTCTTCTTTGCTCGCTTAAATTATTTAGATGATTGCATGATTTCACGTAATTTTCAAAAATATTTTTAAGCCTAGTTCCATATTCGATAACTGTTTCGTTATAATATTGTTTGCAACTCATTAACTCAATACTCCATTGGATAAAATTCTTTGTTTCGTTGAAAATAGTGTTTAACTACGTTTTTAATTCCTCCCAATTATCAAATGAAAAATTCCTCGTTTTTTCGAAAGCAGAACCCTCCAGTTTCATTTTCCAGATTGCTTTTAAAAGTTTAGGTTCTAATATGTCTTTGAAAGTCGAGTCTATTGAAGAAATAACTAATTCGCATTTGGACAAAAAAACATTTAACTTACTCCCCTCTTTTCCTCCCTCAAACACTGGCATCATATTAAGTAATTCTATTAGGTTCTTTAGACATTTTAATTCACAAAAAGAAAATACCAACAAAAATTACAAAAAAGAAACAAATAAAAAAAAATTAAACCTCAATGTACCTTTTTCAAAAAAACAATAAAATAACAAACAAAAAAAAAATCAGTGGAGAAAGTAACACAGATTAGAAGGTTCTACTTACTTGCAGTTCGCCATCAGTTTCTCGGAACAATTCTGTTTCCAAAGCCTATGATGCGACGCTTCTAGTTTCCGCTGCCACCAATGTTATGATCCCACCTATGTAGTGATCACAATACCGACCGTAATAAAACAATACCGTATAACTTCTGTTTAAAATACTTTTATTATAGAATGATACGCAGTTGTTGAGGAGAGAGTCTTACAAAAATATCTGTGTAACCAAAGCTGTCTTCTGACTGAAAGTTGTGTCTTGACTGATCTATCTTCCCAAAATCCTCTTTCGACATCCCTTCTAAAAATCTATTGCTATAATAGATTGACTATTAATCTCGAGACAGAAATGAAAACTTTTCTCCGAGGCTTGTATACTATTTTATTTGCAAGCACACCATAAATTATGATTAGTCAATCAACTTTTTTAATATTAAAAAAATAAAACAAACATGCCAAAATGTGTCATTCACTGCTTTGACGTTTTTACCTGACATGTTCTCATTGTTGCCAGCAAAGGTAAATAAATTAGAGTGAGGGAAATCGGTGAGGGAAGTCGAATAGGGAAATCGAAGAGGGAAGTGACACAGATAAAGTGTCACTTCCAAATTTTTAAAAAGACAGTAATGACAAGATTACATATATGATTGCAAATAATAGTATATTACAATCCGAGACGGAAAATACTTCATTGCTGGTCGAGAGGTTATTATAGTTTATCGAGACGCGAAGCGTCGAGATAAACTCAACCTCGAGACAGAAATGAAGTTTTCCGTCGAGGTTTGTATACTTTTTTATTTTCAACCCTTAATTTTCTGATGCAAAAACTAAAGATTCTGTTATACGAAATTTTCATATAGTGTAAAACTGGCCTTAGAAAAAAATATTTCACTTTTTTTGTCAATGTCATCAATTTTGACGATCTCAAAGGCCCTGTAAAGGCCAAAACAAAAGACGAAACCACAGGAAACCGCAAAATCAACAACCATAGATAAGATCAACAACGCCTTAACGACGGTAGTTTTCGCTCAGTATTTTTGCGGAAATAATAGATTTTCACTAGATTTCTCCCCGTTCTCCCCAAAGAAATGATTTCGGAAAGTGAAGATGAAGCGATGGATTGTACCCCACCTGAATTAAAAGAAGCAGCAGACAGGATTGGAGAGAGTTTGCTTCCAGCAAAAAGCAAATTTCGGTACGAAAAGGCTTTTCAAATATTCGAAGCATGGTGTAGCCAGAAAGGAACGAGAAATACTGCCTCGGAGACCGTTTTGTTGGCGTATTTTGGCGAATTATCTAAGGAAAAGAAGCCTTCGACTTTATGGTCGACTTACAGTATGTTGAAAACCATGATTAAATTGAAAGAGAAAGTTGATATCTCCAATTACGCAAAACTTATAGCTTTTTTGAAGCGGCAAAATCTGGGCTTTCAGCCGAAAAAGTCGAGCGTTTTTTCCAGAGAAAACATTAACGAGTTCCTCACGAAGGCAGCTGAAGAATTCATTAGCATCAAGGTAGGTTTTCAAAAAATATACAAAGAAGATAAAAATGCGAAAATCAAAATGATTTTCTGTATGCTATAGCTAGGTTACCCATTTTATTTTTATCTGGTTTCAGGTAGCGCTAATTGTTGGTGTGTCGGGTGCATGTAGGAGCGATGAACTAGTCAAGATGAAAATGGAGCACGTCAACGTTTTGGAAGGAAAGATCGCTATAGAAATTCCACACACAAAAACTTACACAAGTCGATCGTTTATCATAAGCGATCCAGATTGGGTTGCTATTTTCCACAAATACCTCACTTTGCGGAAAAATTTGAAAAATGACAGGTTATTTGTTCAATGGCGAAATGGGAAATTACATAACCAAGCAATTGGCTATCATTCAATCTCAAAATTTCCACATAAAATAGCTGCTTTTTTGAAGCTTCCAAAAATTGAAACTTTTACAGGGCATGCTTTTCGTCGTACTTCCGCAACCTTATTGGTTGACAACGGGGCCGATCTATTGCAACTCAAAAGACTGGGAGGGTGGAAATCGAGCACGGTTGCTGAAGGCTACATAGAGGCATCTTTGGAGAACAAAAGTAAGACTGCTCTGATGCTATCCTCTACTTCCAAAGGTATTCAGTTGTCCAGTGCATCCACAAGTACATCACATGCGGAAACTCATCCGCAAGCGCAAGAGATAATAGTTCCAAACGAAACACAATTCCAACAGGATGGTCTCAAGATTTCCATTATAAACAACAATGCTAATTTAACAATTAATGTAAATAAGTGAATAGATTTAATTAGTTCCATGTAATACATGTGGTTTTATTATTATATGTGAAAGCTGTATGAAAATTATCAATTTGGAACGAGCAGGGAAATGGGGACGGAAAAGCATTTGCCGTCCCGGACGGAAAATGCTTTTCCGTCCTAGGCAGGCATATGCATTACCGTCCCGATAAATGTCAAAGTCCAGAAATGTGACACTTTCAAGATTTTGAAAAACCTGCAATGTCAACATTACATATGTGGTTGAAAATAAACAGTCATACACCACAGCAAAATGGCTTAGCGGAACGTTTCAACCGCACAATTGTTGAAAAAGCCAAATGCTTAATGTTTGATGAGAATGTGAGTAAGTTTTTGTGGGCAGAAGCCTGTAATACGGCTTGTTACATCAAAAACCGGTCGGCATGTGCAGGGATTTCTAAGACTCCATTTGAGATTTTTTATTGCAAGAAGCCAAATCTCAGTCATTTACGCATTTATGGTAGTACTGTCATGGTTCATGTTCCTAAAGTGAATAGAAACAAGTGGGATCATAAAGCAGTAAAACATCTACTTGTAGGATATGACGAAAATACTAAGGGCTATAGATGTTTTAACCCGCTCACAAAAAAGGTCATTACAAGTAGAGATGTGCAGTTTATGGAAAATGTCATCAATTTAAACAATATTTCATTGGGTGAGCCAGTTGAAACAGAGGTTGCCGATTCAGTGGGGGTTGACATTACCACTGATGAATCGTTGGCAGATGAATTTTCTGATCAATCTGTTAATGAGGAAATCATGCCATTCATAGAAAGTTTTGACAGTGACTATGCCCCTGACTATGAAGAAGTTCCAACAGTTCTTGATGAGTTGCCAAGAAGGTCAGAGAGAACTCCCAAAAAGAAATCATTTGAAGATTACATCACATACCTGTGTGCAAGTGATGTTTCTGAGGCACCAGATGGTTCTGATCTACCCAAAACAGTGGCTGAAGTGCTTTCGAGACCAGATGGTCGAGAGTGGAGGCAGGCCATGTTAGAAGAAATGCACTCATTTGAGGAGAATGAGACTTGGGAGCTAGTAGACCCACCAGAACACGGAACAACAGTAATGCAGTGTAAGTGGGTTTTCAAGGTGAAATGTGATGGTGACAGTAAAATTAATTATAGAGCAAGGTTAGTAGCAAAAGGTTATACTCAAAGAGAGGGTGTTGATTACACAGAAACTTTTGCTCCTGTTGTGAGACACTAAACCTTTAGAGTTTTAATTGCATTAGCTTTACAGTTAGATCTTAAGATTTTTCATTTGGACGTTAAAACTGCGTTTCTCAATGGTGTGTTAAAGGAAAATGTTTACATGACACAACCCGAGGGTTTTGTTTTAAAGAATCAGCAGAATAAAGTTTTTAAATTAAAAAAGGCTGTATACGGTTTAAAACAATCCAGTAGAGCTTGGAACCAAAAAGTAGATCAAGTTTTGTTAGATATTGACTATAAAAAGTCAAGTATTGAGCCTTGTTTGTATATTAAAAGAAAGAATAATGGTTTGTTAACTGTAATAGCATTCTATGTAGATGATTTTTTGTTTTTTCGGGCGACTCAGAAGAAATTGCATTTCTTGA